GGCCAAGGAGAGGGGGAAGTGCCTAAATTAGCCCATAGGAAATGCCAACATCATGAATGCAGTTTAAAATTCTAACTCAGTGCTGCAAGCTATTCCCCTGTTCCCAGGAGTGTCTCTCAGAACCAAGCTCCTACATCCATGCAGGAGGAAAGGTGTGGTGACAAAACTGTATCTCCATTTTATGCATTTGATTTACCTGAGACTCAAACCTAACTCTTCTGTGCATCACACCCCTGATGCTCATGTATTTGTTCTGTCCTGTGAGTGAGAAATAGGTGGACAACCCCTTTCTCTCCAGAGAAAGCTGCTCTCTCACCTGATCATAGCACCAGTGTCACTCTCTGAGACCATCTATCTTGCATTTGTTCCCTGCAGGGAAGAGACTCAATGACAGTGTCGGAGAGGACAGGGTTTGATGGCTCAGAAACTGGCCTAGAAAGTAAGAGCTGTGACTTAGAACTCGAGCCCAGAAGGACCTAAAGCCCAGAGCAGGCAAGGGTTACAGCAGCTCAGATGCTACACGTTGGCTCTTGTTACTCTGGATTGATTGAGATATGCAAGCACAAACCCTCGGGTCACAGCCAGCTCTCAGGCCTGCGGGCGATTTAACAGAACTTCTCACTATTCCTGTGTCAGAGCACTGCTCTCTGAGTACACCGTTTTAAGCATCATGCTCCAAGTCAGCAAGCTGATTTAGCTGAGGCACAGGGATGCCTCAGGATGGCTTCAAGAAATAAGGCAAAAATGATTCACAAATAGATAATTAATCTTAGTTAAGTTCTTCCTTATAGAATAGCATTTGAGCAGATTGAGGCATCTTGAATGAGGTAGCAGTATGTTATCAGTGTCTCTTCATAGCTGATATACTCCATTCATGATTCAGGGAGCATTTAGGATTCAAAGTAACCAAAACAAATTACTTTACCCTGTCCCCTCCCAATACTAATAAAATATTCTCATTAATTAAAGTAGATTCCTGAAAATGTATACTATATAGGACAATCCTTAGTTTAAAAATCTAGAAAAACAGACAAAAATTGCATATTGGCAGCTATATTTTAAACAAACAAAAAAATCTTCACATAATAAATACATCTTATGCACATTAACTTCAAATTTACTTCAGAAAGCTATTTACAATATAAATAATTATAAATGGGAACACTTTGCAAGATATTGTAGACATAACTAAATTATATTTTCTACATTACATTCCAAAGGAAAACTACAGATGTTATGCTACAATGTCACTAGACCCTTTACATTGCAAAGCACGGTATTTGAAACACTGGCAATCTGTGTCTTTTTGTCCTTAAATGTAACCATTGGTTTAAAGCAAACATGAAATTCTTCATCATGTCTCAAGTGCTTTCTTTTTGTTACATTAGTACATTTTATGAATTGAAATATTTACCTTGGGAAAAAGTTGCAGTGCCCTAAACATACTTTTTCTCATAGACTTTATTTCCTTAGAATGTAAAGGTGCCAACATTTTGTATTGTGTGAAAAAAAGATTGTTTCTTGCACTTTGAAACTTCCCAATGTATTTGTTTCAGGAGCTGAAAAGGAAAATAATATATGCAGTCCAAATTGCAATAAATAAAAATGTTTAAAATGACATTTGGAATCCTAGAACAATAGGAAAGATTGAGAAATTTGTGTGAGAGGGGAATTAAATAGGTAATGCAACCAGAAAAAAAAACCTTTTTTCATCCTGCATTTGATCTTTCCTTTCAAATACAGCTTTATAGGTGGAGTCATAAATTAACTCTTTTCAAAAAGGGATATGGTCCTAAAAACTTAGAGCCAGATTTACCTGCAGAACTCTTGTACACATAAGCTAAATGCCGCAGTGAGGTTTAACCTCACAGGATCTTTTTTTCATTAATAAATGCCCTAAGGAAATGTGAAATGGAATCACACTAGTGCTCTCACTGTTCTGAACAGAGGGCTATTTCATTTCTCTGGTCTTCAAAATAACAGCTAAATCCTCAGCTATACCTCTAGAAAATTTTCAAAACACCAAACTGAAGGGTTACAGAAATCTGGGGTTTTCTTAATTTGCTTTTTTGTTGTTGTTTTTGGGGTTGGTTTGGGGTTTGTTGGTTTTTGGGTTTTGTTTTTTTTTTGCTTCTCAGTGCACACAGCTGAACTATTTAACCATCAATACTAACTGCAAACAAAATAGTTTATGCTCCACACTGTGGAGCTATCTGGAGTTAAGCCAGTATACCTACAGGAAAGCATGTTCATCCACCATTGTTCCTAATAACAAAGCCTGTATTGCCTTAAGGCTCTTAGGTGCTTTAAGTAAACTTGCAACTCAAGGAAAGAGCAGGGCCTGAATCCATTTGCTGCCAGACATGAACTATAGCCACCTTAAAATAGACATAGCCAGGTCTAATCCTGGAACTGTGTGCTGTAATCCCCATTACATGCAGGTTTGTATGCAGAAGGTCTGAAACCAGCCCGTATGCCATAGCTTTGTTCCGTGACTGAAAGGTTATCTGACCTTTGGAACAGCCAGGCTGTCTTTCTTTCTGGGGTGGTTGTGCCTTTTCCAGAAATAATATGCCACCTTTTATTTTTTCCAACTCAGCATGCTCACATAAATGAACATATGGTGGTTAACATACTTAGGGACATTAATGAATAAATGCTGCATGTGTAGAGACAAAAGTGAGATTCAGATAACAGTGATTAAAGGACTTTAAAAGAGCAGAATTTCACTGTGTAACCCACGGCAGTATTGCAGACAGTGTGTAGAGACAAAAATGAGATTCAGATAACAGTGATTAAAGGACTTTAAAAGAGCAGACACATTTCACTGTGTAACCCATGGCAGTATTGCAGACATATCAACAAAAGCCATTTTTAAAGCTTAAGAAATACTTTAGGGGCTCTTCAGCTGAGAGAGATGCACTCATTTTTTAAGAACATAAATAACCTTTTTTATAGAAACATGGTCATTAGAGTTATTATCTTCCATAGATCCATACTCACATCTTGAGATTTCAGGAAAAAAGAATTACAAAACAACCCTCAAACCTATTATCAGAAGTCAGCTTTCCTCCCCTTGCACATGCTAAGTAGTACCTTACTCCACAAATATTCCCATTTGGATAAATGGAACAAGTTGCTGAGTAAGGTTCGTCTTTCAGTTTAAGAATTGCTTTGCAAATTTGTCCAGAATCACAAACTCTATGCCCATGGGGTGAGATTTCATATAAAGACAAGAGGGTTTTTTATTTCCTTAAACAAAAAGAGATGTACTAAGATTGTAATGCACAAAATCCATAATGCACCATCCATTGACATCAATAAGAAATGGTTTGAAAGAGCTGTGGCCACTCTGTATTTGCAGTAGTTGCCAAATATTAATTTTGTGTTAATAGTAAACCAGTATAATATTAGAGAAATTATGCAATACAGCAATTTATATTTTTTCTATTCCAAAACACAGCATACATACCTTATTTAAAATTATAACCTTTAGCTAATGTGATACATTTGAAACTTATTTGCTTCAAATGCCTTGCATTTTTCAATTTTGCAAGATATTTCTTCCCATCTGATTTGGAAAAGGGAGAAACACAAAAAAGAGATTATATCCTTGAAGGATACTAAATGAAAATTTGAATTACATAAATATGTAATGGAAAAAATAAGCTTTATACCATATTGAAAAGCACATGTAATATGAGCTGCAGTGATATTATATGCTATAATTAAGATTGCCAACTTGCTTTCATGTATTATGAAGCGTGCAGAGTCTATGTTTGCAAAACTCAATGCTTTCTGTCAATTAAGAAGAAATTCCTGGCTATCTAAAGAAGCAGGATAGCAAACAAGCTGACAAAAGACATCCATGTCCAGCATACTGTTTTGAAGTGCTGTGGACTGCCAGTTGCTGGAATCCCATGAGGAGAGAGAGCTTCAGCCTTTGCTTGTAGCACAACACGGCTGCATGTAGAGACATCTCTACTGATTTATTCCATTCATTACAGTGCATTTTTTGCCTTTGTAGTGGACTAGAACTATTGAAAATAGGAATAAATAACTACAGTCTTGGGATCACTGCAAATAAGGATGGGGGACTTTTATTGCATAGCACACAGGCCTTTTTTCCTAGGTGAAGTCATGTAGCATCTTATGCTGTGCCTGTTGGTCTCATAAAAGGTGAGAGGCACTTTTCAAAGGTGCCTGTCAGAATGCAAATGCACCAGTCACCAAAGTGTGGTTTCCTGGCTACTTGTGGCCATTAGACCACAGCCAGGGAGCTGCAGCTGGTCTGCAGAACTCTGCTGCCTTTTAACTAAAAGCTTGGTAGCAAGAGTGCTTTGTGATCCCAAGAGATTTCAGTGCTAGGAAACCCCATTCATTCAAAGAGTTTAGGAGACTCTTTTGTAACACAAAGTAATATTGACACTTAGGCATGGTTTTATATGTACTGGTAGGGATAGTATGATACTATGTACCTCTATTCTAATTTGCTTTGCAAATTGTATTTTAATACTGTAAAATGAGACTCCAAGTACAAGTTTATTCATATTATTCATAGGAACAAGTGAAATAAATATGTATCCAGAACTAAGTTTATCAAAAATACTTTCTTATTCCTATGCTTTAGGAATATATACAATTGTTGGGCTGAAAGAAGTCCATTTTGGTCCATTTCTTCCTCTGAGTTAACAGTTGTCAATGTTTTTCTTCCCCTCGCTTATTTGTCTTGTTGTTATCTTAAAACAAACAAACAAAAAAAATCTCTATCTGCTTCTCTTTTTGACCTTCATTATCCATTTGGCAATGAGTCAAATAAACTTCTTGCCAAATGATTTGGTTCTCATTTTGCCTTTGCTATCATTCAGTGCCCTACCTCTCATTTCTGCCGCTAGTTCAAGTAGTTTTAGACCATTATTTATCTCTCCTCTGTGCAGAGTTTGGTGCACATCGGTGACATTACCCCTTACTCCTTTCCCTTACAAAGATGACAGACCCGGTTTATTTAAAGCTTTTATTAGATCTTTCAGTCTCTTTATCTTTTGCTGAGCTCTGCTCCACCTTTTTTGTTACGAGGTTTAGATAATAAAGACCAGACTGTGTTGTTCTCCCTTGTGTTCAACGTGCATTTCACCAGGAGCGATCACACTGCAGTCAACAAAGGTTGCTTATGGAATAAGGTACTACTCAATTCAAGATTCACAATCTGCTTTGGAGTGATCAGGACTATACACAGTATTCCAAGTTCAGAGAGGTAATTTCCTCTGCTTTCAAGTACGTCTCTACTTACGTGGTTTATAATGTTATTATTTAGCTTTTGCTTCTGATTAGTTTTATTTGGAAACAGTATTTTTAACCCACCCATAGCATGCTGGTTTATATTTAGTCCCATTGATGACTCAGTCCCATATGTTGAGCTTCTGAATGTTACAAATTAAGCTAGTCTTAGAGCTAATCTCATTTTAGTAACCACCTCAGGTCCCCTTTCTTCCACATTGGCATAAGAGGGAGCAGTGGTCCCTCCTGTTGCAGTCAACTTTGGGACCATATAAATGCCATACAAAAAAAAGACAGGTCTAGCAATTGTGACTACAAATGCCCTATTTTACATTTTTAGCATATGTTTGCATTTATTCTTTTCCAATTAATCAGTCTCTTTGTTCATGTGGTTATTAAAAATTTTTTTTAAGTTCCTCTGCCTCTTTTGATGTCTTGTATAACTCCAGGACAGGCCATGATAATACCAGCATTCTTAATACAATTTAATTCCTTGGAACACTGATTTCCCTCTACTTTTGTTATGTACATATGGCTGATTTTAATATCCATAATATTTTCTGATTTTCATTAAATTATCTGCTGCAATTAAGCAGAGAATTTATATTTCTTTATCAAGGTCATGCCTGTTACTTCACTGTGTTTCTGACAGAGTAGTTATGATACTCTATACTCTCCTAATTTACTCCAAAACTTTATTAGAACTTAGACAAACCACCAAAGAGTTTTTGCCTATTCTTGACTCATGTATTTTTACATTTATGCAACTGCATTTGTATTTTACAGCAATATTTCTATTATTCTATTTAGTTCCTTCTGTGTTTTAAATTAATTCTTAATTATTCAGCCACTTTTCCTTATTTTATAATTATTACTAAATGGCATACATAGCTACAGGGTTAAGTGTTTACCTTGGACCACTCCTAATTCCAGTCTATTCTCCCTGTTTCTCCAGGCAATTTTCTTCCATTTCACTCCAGTAACCACCATGGGCAACCTTTCAAAAACATGAGAACCATCTCCCATCTCTACTGCAAGACAAGAAAGCCCTTTGCATTTCTCAAAGCTACAGTGAGGACACTCCTCTCATTTTAATACAGTAGAGGTAAACATTTGACCATACTAATCATAATGACCCTTTTCAAATCAAGCATATGTAAATAACTATGTTTGTGAGTACACAAGGACATAACAATTCGAGGAGTTCTCTCTTCTTTCTCCCTTTTTTGATTTTATATTGGTCAGCCACGGATGCTTCATACCATACAGCAGCATAACATACTTGGCCTTTGGGGAGTAAACAAATCACCAGAAGTATACATTTTGTTGTGTATTTTGAAGAAACACATCTCAACTTCCTGTGTAAAAAGAATACATAGCAGTTCTGCTGCCTGGTACCTATGCAGTTCAGAAGATCTGCCTTTGGCAGTGTTTCCAATCAGCACCTCTTACACAATGTGGATAAACTGCTCTGCCACAAGTACTCCCTGCCTGAACCTCTTCTATCCTTCTCAGCATGCATGGCAACAACTTTGCATTTAGCTTCGTTTACTTTAACCCTGCATGTCAGTGCATTTGTTGTTGGGTTTTTTTTTTCTTAAGTAATGTGTTTTAACTAACTTATCCCCCAAAACCTTAGGTTCTTCTTTCTAGTGCACTGTTGTATGGGAAATGCTGGTAAGGACAAGGGCATGAAAACATAGAGTATCTTCCAATTAGAGCTCAAAGATTATTTTTTAAAACACGAAAGTTTTTAGAAAAGAAGTGTCAGCTTCCATTGGTTATTATAACAGATGTTCCCTTGTGTCCTTGTGCTGGATCTTGCTGCATCCTTAAGTGAGAAGTCACATCAAAGTGGGATCCATTACAGCCTAGTGAATAGTTTCTTATTGTTTCAGTGTCATATAGATGCTCCAGGGCATATCCAGTTAGTGTGTAAGCATGTTTATCAAAGTACTGCCTGTGGGAGCTGTAATAATTTGGAGAGGCTGCTGGGTGGTCTCCTTGGGTTTGATGAGGGGACATGTCTGAATGCAGGTAGTCTTTAGCAAGTACCAAACTAGATTTTGATATTCGGTCAGAACTGGGGCTGCTTATCCTAGACAGTGTTGTGGGGCTGTTGTCGTAGTCATTTTCGTGTGGGCTCATAATCTTTCCATCTCGCTGCTGGATGTGCTCACAAGGAGGAGTGCTGGCAACTGTTGGGACGCGGCAGACGTCTGCTGCCAGCTGCTGCTGAGGGTAGCTTGCAAAACAGATAGCGTGCTTCTTTCCTGTGCCATTAATGGAGACCAGTGGGTCAGGAGTGGTTTTCCGCAGCTGTAGCCTGTTTTCTTCTTCTTTAATCATTTGCTGGGTGGCTCTTATGAGAGTTTCAATTTTGCTGGGCTCATGCGGACTGTTCTGATACTGCTCGGTACGGTATCGGTCTCCTGACTCGCTGGCAGAGCCAGGATCGGGTGAGCTAACAACACTGTCATCATCCCAGTGTCCTCTTCCTAGGAAAGAGAGAAAGGAGACAAGCACTGAGGTTTAAGTGATCTTGAAGAGCATGTAATCTGAACCTCATTTCAGACACAGAAAATCAAGTCAGGGGTGAGTTGTAACAGTCACCCAAAAAGACCCCTTGCTTTTCAGTGACAAACTCTAGTTTCCAGTGTCTCCACTTGAAACAAGTAACTCAGATGAAAATATGCAAAAAGATCTAAGCACCTCAACACAGGTATCTGGTGCCACCTGATACACTCTTGGGTAGCCAAGTACCTGCATAAGCCCTGCAGGTACTGGAGGAACTCGAAAGCAACTCTGTCTTTTGGAGCAGGTAGAGGGCAGGCAGGGCATCCTAGGGCATGTCAAAGTGCCTTCAATGCCAGTGTTCAGGCCCCTGGCCCCTTTCTACCTCATTGCATCAACAAGATCTGAGTGAATTTGGGGCATGGTAAAAATAAAATCTCAGGGAATTACAAATGTACAACACTCCAGCCTTTCCAGGAGCTAAAACAGAGACAGCATTGGGAAATGTCTTGTGGTTATGTAGAGACTTTAGGCAGGATACACAGTAATAAATAACCACAAGTAATGAAGGAATTCATCTTTCGTCTTCAAAGTTCTCATAGTTCTTAGACAAGGACACTGTAAAAATGTGAGGTTATATCCCCATGCATAAATATTTTCTTTTGAAATGGGAAAATATTATTACATTCTTACCCCTTTTAAAAAAATAAGGCCCATATACATATTAGAGAAGGTGTTCAGCTTACAAGTAGCTGAAAGGATGGAATCATATCTGCCACTGCCAGTCCTCACCAGGAAGACAGTGGCCCAAAACCTGAATGGTCAACATTATGACAGAGGGCTTGATTTGCTGAGAGTCATTCCTGAAGGAGGGCCTGTGTGGGACTTGCACATTTTACTTATCAACACCTTTGCTTTGCCACACACAAAGTCCTCTTTGGGGATGAAGCACTTTGGGTTGGCTGACAGTACTCCTCAAAGCAACCCCATTTTCAGAGTAGCACATGAAGTAGCACATTCCCCAGTTTTGTGTTGGGTCAAGGCATGCAGATCTGTGTGGGATGCAGACCAATACCACTGGATTACTGGACAAATCATTCATGGGCTTTTGCAAGAACAATATCCTGCCACTGCTGGGGAAGTACTGCACTGTGGAGTGTCATGGGCATGAATTTATCCTTCACATCCTCTCAAGAGCTGGACCCAAAATGCCAGGACTAGTCAGGTTTTTCTCTCAAAGCTACACACAGACTGAAGAACTATTGAAAAATGTAACACTTGATACAAAAATAACCTCAAAACCAAAAAACCTGCAGCACCTGAAATTACAGCAAAGCCAAACAACACAATAAAACCAAATCATATTATCCATTTGGGTTAATTCTTCTTGATAGAAGTATGGAATTAATATCTAACACTCTTCTGTTTGTACCTTGGTATGATATTTCTGTGTTCAGCAAGAATTATCATGCATGAAATTTGCCAGAAAATTATCATAATTTGCTAGATTCTCTCTTCTTTTTTAGAAGAAAAAGGCTAGAAAAACAAACTGGGGAGAAGAACAGAACAGACACAAGGAAGGAGGCATGTTCTCACAGGAAAAGTGGAGAACAGTCCTCATCAGCAAAATTTTCTGGTTTTTTTCTCTGGTTGTATTTCCTGAAACTTGTTATTTAATAATTATTTCTAATCTCAACATAATTTTCCTCAGATTGGAGCAAAACATAGCAGCTCTTTTTGTTTACAAAGCCTGTTTTGCAGATCAATGGAATAGTACTAATTTAATCTGCTTTTATGAGTTCTTTAGAGGTAACATTTGTTTTGGTAGACTCTTTTGTAGAAAAACTTTTTTTTTATGTTGCATCCATCCTTAAAACCTTGAATTCTGACTTTAGGGCCTGTTCTGTCTTCCAAGACTAAGCCTATAATTTTAAAACCAAGGACCTTTGGACTTGTCCAACCCAGTATCAGGCTTTCACTATGTTTTTTTTTTTTTATTAGCTTCAGCATCTGAAAATGTGCTAATGCACTGAGTTGCAACCTGTCAGAAACTAAACAAAATTTCAGGCTTGGTGCTGAAGGGATGGAGAGATTTAAATTGGCTAAAAATTATCACTGAGGATAAATGTCTGAAACCAAAAACAACTGTCTATTTCAATAGCCAACTTTAAATAAACATCAAATCATACAGAATCTGGTAATAACCAGTAGGGGGAAAAGTCCCTCAGAGAACAATTTCTCCAACAACTTTCAAGAGTTTTTAATATCTAGTTTGGATTTACCCATAATTTTTTGCTAAATATATTCCATCTGAATTGTCTTGCTCCTAAGTCTAATAAAAACCACTTTTTTATCAAGTGGATTATTTTGTTTATATTTTTAAGATCATGCTTAAAGTCTCCTCAGTCACATGTTTCCACCTTAATTTCACAACGAAATACAACAAAACTATATTTTGCTTCGTATAAACCAGACTATAAAACTCAACTCAACTTGAATTTCAAGTATTCCTCATCTGCGCCGATGCGATCTCTGAGACAAGAACACACACCAAAAGCACCTCATTTTCCATCTTTCACACAAACAGCTGGATGTTTCTGTCGCATCGCTTTAGCTGAGATGGTGTCGCTTGTGCAAATCCTTGTTATGTCTTACCATGAATCCTGTGCACTGACGTTATGTGGGGCATACTGTTCTCATACGCTTCTCTGCTCTCGGGGGACGACTTAGTCAGAGGCAGGGCTGAGCGAGAGCCCCACCAGCTCTCCCTTCCCGGCTGCGGCGTGCCAAGGAAATACCGGCCAGCTTCGCATCTGCCTCCTTCGCAGGCCTGACTGTGGAAATGCCTGTCATCAGCCAGCCTGGAGTGGTCGAGTGCAAAACCGTAGCAGAGCGCGCTGCGGTCTGAGTACTGTCTGTAGGCACAGGAGACGTCGTGGTGCTGGGAGCTCGCTCTGTCCGCGGGCTCCAGGAGCTGCGGAGAAGCCGTATCGGTCAGGGGGCTCCCACCCCACTGGCTCTCGTGGTCAGACTCAGATCTCTCTGTGTGAAATCCAGAATACTGCAAAACAGGAGAAGCACCATGGGAATTACCACACCTGGGTGAAATCTGCAAGTAACTGCACTGGGAAGGCAGAGTGTGTATGTGACAGTGTGTTTTTTGTGAGCGTGTCTGCACCTTCTGATTGGGCTCCTGGTCCTTTCCTGTACAACACTCTGTAATGAGCTCGCAGATGACAGGACAGACCTCATGAAAATCTAAAACATCCCATGTCGGCCCTTAACAGCCATCTCCTTTATGATGTGTAATATTAGGCTCAGAAACATCAATGTTGCAATTCAATATATTTTTAGTATATCCAGGTTTTTCTTGTTGCTTTGAAAGCTGTGCTTATGCTCAGCCAAGGTGCTCCAATGCACTTCAGCAAAACACTTCCAAAAGGGATTGAAATAACACCGCTCCTGGAGCATTTTCACGTGTCAAATTGAAACCGAATATATTTGAAGGATTTTTCTAAGGGTTCACTGTTTTTCTCATATTTTGTTTGTTTATATTTTTTTCTTACTTGGAGCTGTATCTTTGAACTTCTTTCCTCTTATTAGGAGGGAAAAGTTGGCACCACTATCAATTTTGAAAGGTAAAACTCTAAAGTGATAGTGGATAGGTAGGAAGCTAAAAATCCTAGCTCTATTGCAATATGGGAACAAGGAAAATCCAGAAACTATTTTCCATTAAAGGTGACTGCTAACCAAAGCAGAGGTCAGCGTTGTTCACCCTCACTGAAGCAGGGCACTCCCAACACAGAAAAGCAACTAGTAGGTTGTTAGACAATTAGTCAGGACAGGAACATGAACATTTGTTTAGAGAGAAGTAAGGGTTAAGTTAAATGTCACAGGTTTCTAGATATTCATAATGAATGCTTCCAACTTTTAGATACCTTTTGGGAAAGGAAAAGAATGTTTATTAAACCTCCAAGGATTTAGCTATCTCATTTTTAAATCTTTTTATTTATTGGAACTGTCAAACTTCACGGAACATTTTTAAATCAATTTCACCCATGATTATGGGCTGGGATGAGACCAAAGCTGTACAAGCTCACCTCTTCAGCACTGCACACTCATGTCACAAATCAATGTATTACAACATGAAACCTTGGAATTCTCCCATTCCATCACTCACCTTCCATATGCCCGCTCTGCCTTTTCTTTTAATAGGCCTAACATAAGGTTACCTTCCTTTTCATTAGATTAAGTTGCTATGAAACTCCTCATTATCAGCCAGGATCAAGGTTTTATGCACTTACCAATCGAAAGTACTTACCAGATGTTTGACTTGGAGAAACCTAAACCATGTGTGCAACATCAGTGGAGTTTTTGGCATTTAATTGGGCATTGCTTCAGTATTCCACTTTATATTTGTGAATACTGTTTAGGTTGTGAACACAGTAGATTATTTAAAGGAAACAAAGAGTGAGCCATGGCTTTGAGGAAGGCAATTATATTTTGTTATTAGTTGTCAGAAGAAAACCCATAGGCAACAAGCCTCCCAGTAGAGATGGAGGAGGTCAGAAAGTTAGTGCCACGATACTCATCACAAAGGTTTAGAGATGAAAGGAAAAACATGAATTTTCATGAAGGTTAGATAGTTACAGAGCCACAAAAGAGCTCTTTTAAATGCCAGTAACTCAACATATACTAACTAGGAATTTTATTCAGTCACCACAGTGTTATTGTCACCAAATGGAGCATATGTCTCTTCATAATAGAATTATCATAATAAAATTATCCTTTCAGACCTAACATCTACAAACTGCTTAATCACAAAGACACCTTCATAATAACAGCTGAAATATTGTAAGTTTTTCTGCAAAAATATGTAGATAAAATTGTTTCCAATAAAAAAATAGAAATTATTAACAAGATTAACAGTTAGTAAATCTTATCTAGAAATAAAAAATAAAAAAGAAAATTACATTTTAATCTGTTTTTAATTTTAGAACTGTTTTTAATGCTCTTTTTGAATTTGACTTGTACAAACCAGATTTTTTAATTTTAAAATTTAAGCAAAAATATTATACAGCATAAGCCTAAATGCAAATATAAAAAAGTCAAGAGTTCATTTATTTTCTTATTAAAAATAAAACTCCTAGTATGTATTTCTTTCATGAGAAGGACAAGGAAAATTAATTTCCAATAATATTATAATGAAATTTGTTTTTTGGGCTATTTATGATTATAATAAATCCCAGAGAATCTTTCAAACTGAAAACTTAGTTTCCTGCCCTATCTCTACTAGATATTCTTCTTTTAGTTCTCTTTTTCTAAGGACACTTCAGTGTCCAACATAGCTTTTCTTGAAGGGAATATCTTCATTTAACAGAAAAGTTGTGCAATTTCTGCTTTTATCTTGAACCTAATCACAAAAACCTTTGTGCACTTTTCTTTAAGAAAGGGAAATTATCTCATAGGGTTTATGTCTAGTATCTCAGAAATTTTCATACTTGATGTGAATGAAGATTATTTGAGATTTGACTCATGGCAAGTGCTAGGCCATGGACAGAATTCAGTTAACACAGTCAATTGATTGTGTCCCACATTTTCTGCCAAGGTTTGATATGACTGCTTACTCCTAAGGTGCAACATAAGCAGACACAGGGCAAAAATACGTCCAATTTCCTTTAATGCCAGCCACATCTCTATTTGGCATCCTCAGGCTGCCTTCACTGCTGCAGTCCAACCACTGCCTCTTCTGGGAATCCGATGTTGACAGGTGGAGACTTCAAATATGGGCATGTGTGACATGTTGATGGGGGAGAAATGAAAGGGTGATCAAAGATATTGCTTTACTGAAATGGGAGTGGAAACACTATCTCTCAAGTCAGAATTAGGCTCCCATATGTCAAGTGATGAAAGACCATAAAAAATTGAATCAGATTTAATGAAAATTATGGCAAATTAAAATCAGTTGGGTTTTTTTCCCAATCCTAGTCATGTCTCAGCAGAAACATTTTATTTTCTATTAATTTCTGCTCTCTGACTTCTATCAGGAGTCAAAAGGCAAAAACTAATTTATTACTTTTGGGTTTTTTGACAAAATGTAATCAATAGACAGTGATAAAGAACTTCAAACTGGCAACATCTGAATTCCCTCTAGGTGATTTCTGAATTGTTATCTGCATAAAAAATAACAAACATAAATTAAATGGTCCTTCAGCTGGTCCTGAATTCAGCTGATTCAGGTGGAAACTGAATTGTCATGTCTGAAAATCAGAAATGTCTCCCAGAGTGGTAATCCAGTGTACAATCAAAGTGAGAGCACAACAGCAGGATTAGCACTGACAAAGAAAAGGTCTGTGGGCCATCAGTGATGCATTTTCTCTCGAGGAAAAACTTCAGGAGAGCTAAAGACATAAGGAAATAGGGAAATATAAATTCCATGTCTAAGGAAACTTATTTTATGAGAGTCCATGGAAGTGTATTAGGCCAGTAGACAATTTAATATTTCTCAACTGATTTTCTTTTGCCTGCCCTTCCATTCCTACAGGTGTCTCACTGGCCTGAGGACTTGTCCTGTCATGCACAGCAACATCAGCCTGCTCTACACACCACCCCAGATGTTCAAACAACAGATATTATAGATATATAATTTTCTGGCAGCCTACTCAGGTTTTTATCATTATAAGCATTAAATATATGGAGAAACCCTCACAGAACCCTCTTTTCCATGGAAAACTTTCACTACATCAACATTAACAGCTTTTCTCTTGATTTGTGTCTGAACCGTGAGGAAAAAAAATCACAGATGCAGGCTGCATTGTACTAAGAACATATGCATGATTTAAATCACTTTTATCTTACATTTTACTAATGTAATCCTGAAATGAAAAATATGCTCTTTTCACATTCACTATTATAGGCACAACAGATGGTGAAAGGCTTAGATTAAAGTAATACAGCATGTCCATTAAAATAACCCCCACTGCTGGTGACTCTTCACCAGACCAGGAGTTATGTTTACTATAAAACGAGGGGTTTGCTTTGCTTTTGAACACGCTAAAAGTTGCCAAAGCTTTAGGCTATAGGAAGAAATTAAAACAAAACAAAAGCCAGGCTGGCTAGAATTCTGATTCTGTTATCTTTATTCCATTCTGTGATATGCCCAAATAGAGATGGATTGCAGAATTAATCCAAATTATCCATCTAAAGGAGATATAAAATCAATATATCTCTGAAATTTGATGCATTAATATATACAACCATACACCTACCTATTAATATATACCTATACCTCCATCCAACAGCTCTTGGGTACATCCTTACTTGTATGTGTGCTTTCATGATAAACATACATGTATACATATATATAACATACATATATGTATGCATATATGTATATATATATACACATACATATACATATATACACACACATATACATACATACGTATGTATATATGTGTATATATATGTGTGTGTATATGTATATATATGTATAAATATGTATATATATGTATAAAATCTTTATCCAACAACTAAGATCAGGTATGAAACAATAACCATTTTTCCAGATCTCACCATTAAACATTTCCACGGCAGACAGACAACAAGCAAGTTAAACATTTTTTTTTATACAATCATCATTAATGGGACATTAAACTCCAACGCAGTTCAGATGATCATAATTAAAATGTTTTTCCAGTCTTTCTGCTATTGCCTGCATATGGAATAAGTGAGGTCCTGGGCTAGTTTTTGGGAACAAAAATGTGCAGGGCTAGATTTTGGGAGGCCCTCACAATGATGATGATGATGATGATGATGATGATGATGATGATTTTGTTGGGAAAGACTACAGGCATCTTTTCACCAACTCATTACTTCCTTTTTCTGCAAATATGCATCAAACCTTCATCCGCCTGTTTGTTTTTTTTTCCCCACCATCTCTTTCAGCTCCGCACCTCTCTGGTGGGACTGGACTAGAAAAGCACTCTTCAAACTCTCTGAGAAAATTCTGCAGCTGGGCCACTAATTTTGGGTTGCTCTCCTCTCTTCTTGCCTCTCCCCTGCCTGAGGCTGGTTTCACAGAGCCCCCTAGCCCACTGTACTAACAGCACACAGTGTTAATCACATGGGTGATTAACATCACCAATGCCTCCAGTTCAATGAACTCAGTTTCACTTAAGATTCTGCAAGACCCATATTATGCTATGTTTGCTTTTGCATAAGAATTGAGGAAAAAAACATCAACACTGTGTTAGATGACAAATACAACCACTTTTTGCCCTAGTAGTAAAGATTCAGCTGAAATCAATTAGTTTCATTTTCATACTGTTCACATCTCATGTACCTATCTTAGGGACACACAGCTGGCAAGGTGAACGATTCCCAGTCAGCACCCAATAAAGCATATGATTTCTTTTTCTCTTCAAGAGAGAAGCAAAGTAAATGATAAGGGAATTAGAGAAAAGGAAAGGGGGAAAAAAAGGGAAAAAATTATGTACATTTAATATCTCGTAGGTGTCCTTGACTTTAAGAAGTACTTTTCCCACTGCCATTATTTTACTAATAAACTTCCTGCTTCCTTTCCTCACCACAGGCTCAGGCTCCTGTGTAAGCCAAAACCCGTGACCTCGCCCTTCAGCTGTGACTTTTAAGTCACACTCTAATTCCCCTCTACTGACTGGCAAATTACATGGGCAGGAGACTGAGGAACACAGGCTGTACCACCTGCTGCATGTTCTTCACAGCAGCTTCTCTTAGTCTTTCAACAGTTTATTCACTGGTGGAGAAGGATGACAGAGAGGCAAAGCCAAGCTGCCAGCATTACTTGTGGTGATGGGCTGCAATGAATGGCACGATCATTTTTCAAGATATTGGCAACTAACATGGCTGCTTCTTTTTGAATGATGAAATATGTGACTCTAATATCAGGCAGCTGGTAATGAGGATGCAAAATGAAAGTGGAGGCTAAGCACCCTGGGCTTTCAGACTACAATCCCTGATAAACTGTAAGTCACAATGCTGCACTGCTCATTCAGTATTTTTCTCTGGTGACAGAAAGGATGAGGAGGTCATACTTTCAGAAATCAGATAGATGTGGAAGGATAACAAGCTTTCAGCTGGGATTGTCCTGCTAGCAAATGAATACTTTGGAAAGGACTGTATAAGGTAAGATGAAATGTAATTACAATAAATCAAAAATAGTCATTAAAATTGAATTTGCAATTATTTGTACACGTCTTCCCCAATTCTTTTTGGGTTTGAGTACAATTTTTACAATAATGTAGTGCATTCACGAAAAAGGCTTTTTTTAACAACCCACAGAAACAAGTATGAACAAGTGAGCTATAATAACCTCTGACAAATATTAGATTCTTAAAATTAGGAATTCATATCTAGGTGCTCAGTTAAATGTTTCCTGTGCTAAAAGCAGACATCATTAACTGAAATTCTTATCCTTGGTACTTTTGAGAGGAAAAAGAAAGAAAACTAGGAAGTGATGTAGATATTTGGGACCACATTGTACACTCTTAGAGGTCCATTTAGAAAACATTGCGCCTGCAGAGAAACTGTAGTTGTTAAGGTCATTATCAGTTAAATATTGAGGTTCTTTGGATATACTACTAAATATTGGGCTCTTTAAAAATACATAGCTCTTCAATCTTACATCTTGAATGCATACATTTATATCCAATTTGTTTATACAGCCATTTATATCCTCTTATGTAGAGGCATAAGAGCAGTAGGACTTGTATCATTAGTAAAGATCACAATTATTTTAACAAACATGTTTTTTGAGGTAAAAGTTTGACAGTGTAAGGATACAAGTGCTGTAACATTGCCTGCAGAAATCAGTTGCATAAATGTATTATGTGAATTTCAGTTCACAGGCCCAATTGCGTCTGGTCCATTCTCCAAGCTACCACCTCCCACTGTTTTCTTCCTTTCAAAGCTTTACACACAGAAAGGTACACATTTTCTTGTTCCAATTCACCAAGCTGGCTGACTGCTTTCCCTCCTCAAAACTCATTCCTCTTGACAACAATTTCAGTATTAACTGCTATCTAATATCTGCTATCTAATAACTGCTATCTAATAACTGCTATCTAATAACTGCTATCAGCTTTCTAGATTTGTTGGAATTAGTAAAGACCAAGTAAGAAAAAGCAAGATTTCTCAAACTGTAAAACTCACAGTCTTCTCAAACCAAGTATTTCAAAACCAACATTTTCACTTGTCCTTCTGTCCGCTTCTCATTAACTCTGAGCCCTGTGCTGCTATTGTCATTGATAATGATTTATTATGCATGCTGAAACATAAATGTTTCCAGCTTTTTAGAAGCAGTTTAAAGAACCATATCCCTGTCTCAAGCTTGTATAACCTGCTGTCTTTTATTTTCTTTGAATAACATTTCTTTGGCCCATTCTAGTTATTTAGGTAAAGTAGCAGCCAAAATCGAGATATTAAAAAATATTTAACTTAGTTTTTCAAAGACAGCTACCTGTGGGTACGGTGATGTCCTTGATTTTGACTTTGTGCTCGAGAGGCGAGATTTGCTTCCCTTTCTATTATCCGTTATGGTCGGAGCTGAGTTTGCGTATGAGAATGCCGGCTTGGTAGCAGTGACCTGATCCAGGGAGAGCTGCAGTCCTTTATATTCAGTGTCCCTATATGAAAGGCAAAAGTGAAAAACAAACTCACTTCATGTCTTAATGGGAAACATTCCTTTCTTCTTAGTGGGGGGTAGAAACGAAAGATATTTTTAAGAAAAAAGAACAAAAACCATCCAGGGCACACCAGTATATCCCCCTAATACATTTATGGAGTATAGCTTACTAAGCAATAGCACTATTTTTATACTGAGAATATGATTGCTTTTTGCATCCAGCTGTTACCATCCTGATCTACTTTCTTCAGTAATAAAAAGCAATAGGATGGATATTTCTGAGATTTGTATTACAGTTCTACATTGGTCACATAGCTAAGCAGTAAATAGGATACATTTTCCTCACAACTCTTTTGACTATACAACTACAAACTTTCCTTGTGTGTGTTATGCTTGTGTGTGTGTTCATATGTATGTGGGGTGCACATAACAGACTAGACAGATGACTAAATAAACTGAACAAAATAATTTTTAATGGAAAACACTTGATTTCTAAGGTTGTATTTTTCATTTCTTAAGAAGTTTCAGGCAATTGTGTAATTTTTTTTTCTTCTATGGGTCTTATGGGTGTTTATTCATTCATTTTTAGTTTCTTATACCAGTTTACCAGTCAGAGAAAACAGCTAAATAAATATAAATCTTGTGATTTAAATAGCCTGTCCCTCACTCACATAATAATAGAGGTTTTCTATGGGGAGCTATATTAAATGTCAGTTTTTTGAAGTTTGGCATTAGTTTCTTCTAACTAATGAATACATAAAAGTAAGGAAAACTGGCATTGTTCACAACGTCTTACTAAGCATAATGAGGGCATATGCATTGGACTGCAGTCTTCTGCACACATCTGCATGTCTGCTGATACCCGGGGGAGTAACAAATGAGCTCTCCAGCTTTCATGTACTCATACGGAACCTATTCTGACAATGATTTATTAAAAAAGAGCAAAGAAAGAGCTTCTTCCTGACCTACCTACCTGAAGGAAAAGAGGAAGGATTCTTTTTTTTTTCCCTTTGTGTTATCAGTAGAGAAGTAAGGGATAAGGGAAGAATAATGCTTCTCTTCAGCAGTCAAGGAGGCAACATATTCATTCATACATTATCCCATACCCCATCTAAACCTAAAGATTAACACTTAATGAATTATAGTTAAAATAAATTGTTTACCTAGCTTTAGTAACAATATCTTGGTCTATAATCACACAAATATTGATGTGCAAGTCATAAGAGTCTAATGTTTTTTAGAAAGAAACTGCATCACAGCCTAAGCATATTAGAGCTTAATACACCGAAATTATTTCAGGTAAAAGTCAGGGTTAGAAGAATAAACTTGCTAAGTCACTGAAAAAAAGTGAAACAGGATGAACCACTGAACAGCCACAAATAAACCTGCATAACCAAGAGACTAATTCATCACAGTTCTTCTTTTTTTCTTTTTCTTCTGATAATAGAAGAGGTTTAGGTTTTTTGGCAGTGCAGACAATGTATGTATGTCTGTGTATATAGAACACATGAAAGTAAATCCTTAACACTAGAACTGCACTGTTGTTTCCAGTCCACAGCAGACAGAGATTTGTCAAGTCTAAATATTGCTTTGTAATGCAAAATTAGTTCTTAAGGTAAGTTCTTGAGGTAGATCTAGTAAGGTAGTTCTTGAGGTAATTTCTTCAAACTTTGGCTTTAATAGAGATAGGTCTCTGCACGAATACCTGCATTTCAAATATCCTGTCTGCAGTGAAAGCATCTGAGTATGGGGATTTGCTTTGGCTTCTTTGAAAGGCATGGTTCATCCACAGATTTTGAAAGCATTAATTTTTCCCATGGTTACCCTCAAAATTGTCATCTAGACAACTTGGCTTGACATGCAAAGCATCTGTCTCCATAACTGATTCCTAGGATATTATCTCCATGTTATATGAAACACAAAAGATGTCAAACAGTCTTCATACTTAGCTGCTACAATGCATGAGATTCTATCAATACCCTGAAAAAACTATTAGTCTCATCCTGATATACACACTCCCCTCGACTATTTGATTATAAGAGGAAGGGTCATGGGTTCTCAGTGTCAGATGCAGAAAATATTACCACCAGAAACTAAAATTAATCAAAACTAAGTAGGTACATTTTCAGAGCCTTAGGGACATGAGGAGGTTGTATTTTGGTTTTGAGCCTACCAACCCTTTTACCTCTGGTTTTGCTGGAGAACACACAGCTCTGTGCTCCTGCCATTAACTCCCCATCACTGTTTTGTGCCACCCTGTAACGATCTGCTGCTGTCCTGTGGCAGTGAAAAAGTTTTAAATCACTGGGAGAAATGCCACCTTGGTATTCAGACCACGCTGTCATTTCAACACTGCTTGTCTGCTGTTATACGTGTAAGGGTCAAGCATTCAAGAATTTAGAGACTACTCTCTACAATGTTTCTAGGTCGTGGGAACCATAAAAAAACTCCAACAAAACAGTCAAACCAGACTTACTAAAACCTTGCATGCCATTCTGTGTTACTTTTCTACGTCCTTGGTATTGTTATGGTGAGGGCTCACCCTCCCAGAACACCACACCTTAGAATAAACAACACAAGCTTGTATTTGCAGCCATTTGCTTAGACAGTAACTTCATCCAAAAAACGATAATAAAAACTGAAGTTCTTGCTGCCAGATGCAAAATTTTCCCTTAGAAAAAGAAGACTCCTGTGCTCTCTTTGCTGATGAAATACCTGACTTTTTCATCACTGAGTCATGACTCAATACCATCTCAGCTCTGTCCTAGAAGAGCTATCCTTCAGAACAACCAAGAGAGATACCAGAACACCATCAGCAGCTGCACAAGATAAATACCAGAAGTTTAAAAAAAAGGAAAGAAAACATGGAGGAAAGGTCCAGTGGCCTCAATATCAGATGCAAAAGATGTTCCACTAAGAAATGAAAACATTTTTGAGTATATCCATATGCACTGTGAGACAAAAGACTAGAGAAAGCAGGACTCCTAGTGATATACAAACTACAGATGGAAATTCTGACAGCTTCCTAGAGGAATTTATAAAACTTTCACCAACATGGAACTATAATCTGCACATTCCTATTCTCAGACACCTGAATCCCCTATTACACAGTCACAGCCACACACTAGTACAGCATCTTGTGTTCTATGCATAATTTTAAAAAAAGGTGGTGGATAAGAGCCTCTTCCTCCAAGGTCCTCACCTTCAGGATCCCACAGGGATCCATACAATCTACATCTATCTACATGAGACTGCTGAGAGAGAGAGAGTGATATGGCATGTGTTCAATTGCTAACAGTATGTTGCTGACAATCTACTATTTATCTCATTTTCTGATGCAACTATCATCACTATAAAACATCAGAATAACTACAGGAAATTAGCTCTTAAATGAAGAACAGATGGATCAAACTGAATCCAGACAAGACCAAAGTGATGTTTCTTTGCAAAGGGAAACACATTGAAGACCTCCACCTTTTCATGATGGGAAACAGCCATTCTTTCCACAGTTGGATGGAAATTCTAGGTCCTCTTTGACTCCTCAGAGGACGTGAATGCATATGCTTTTGGTAGCACATGGTTCAAAAATTGTATTATTTTTCCTCTATCTTGTCGTTCCTCCCCACATGAGAATCTGGCTGGTATGGTCAATGTATCAGGCACCTACAGACTGGATTACCAGGCTTCACTGTAAGCCAATTCAGAAGACAAAGCATAAAATCTCCTTGCTACAGTATGCTGCTTCCCATTTTCTTCTCAGATCCAACTCCCAGAAGCTTTTCTACTCTATGCCATGTCTCTGGCTCTTTCAGTGCTCTTTATAAAGCTTGAACCTGATTTTGAAAGTATTTATAGGTATACTACACGTACACCATGAAAAACCAAGGATCGATGACTGTAGTAACTGCATTTCTCTGCAATGAAGTGTCTGAGAGCTGAGTACAAAACATCCTTTACTAAACGCATCTAGCTATAGCAAACTGCAAAGATGGTGAAGGACAAGGGCTGAAGGAGCAGAATGTTTGGAAGAGGAAGCCAATTTGTTTGTGCAAGACTTGGATGCCAAGTGAATCTGCAACACTTACATGAAATCTTCTCAAAATTCAGCTTTAGAACACAATTTTTGCCTTTTACTATGGCCCAAATGCACTATATGAAACAAGGTAGCAATTGTCTAGTTAATCAAAGTTTCAGTAAAAGATAATGAATCACTAGCAAACAGACACAAAAAAAACCCAGTAAGGGAGTATTAGAGGACCACAAAACCTGAATTCTCAGCAAACAGGAGAGTTTGCACAAACACAGTGACTAAGCATGTGGTTAGAGCTCATCATCAAAATGAGAAAAAAAAAATGAAAGGGGTTTTTTTATGTGGGCTTTTTGAAGGAAAAAATACGAGGAAAGGGTGAATCAACGCTGACAGAAATAATGTTGGGAAGACAGAGCTCCAAAGTGGCTCATGACAAACTAAAACTACAGACAAGCTGGACTTTCATTGTAATTGTGTTTCTTCAATTAATATGAGGATGTTTGGGACTACAATAACTCACTATAGATGTTAGACTAGACATTAGCATTAGATGGCTAAAGGCACAAATAGTTTTCAAGATATTAATACTCCCTAGTTAAAGACAGTGCTGGCTATGGAACAGAACTTAAGCCCTGAAAAATGCTCTCAAACAGAAACAGCAGATAAATAGGATGTATCCAGAGGAAGAAGTAAAATCATTTTGCTCATTAGTAAAGAATAAGTAACCAGATTCATCCAAAAGTACTTAAGAAGGGCAACCAGACTCAAGAATGCAGATCTTATATATATCCAGAGTTATAAGCAGCATAACCTTCAAAATAAGAAGAAAATCTTCAGAAAATAAGAGAAAGTGCTTAATTCAAGGAAAATTCTGAAAAACTGTAAGGAAAAGCATGTTTTTACATTAATACCACTACATGCCAGAAAAGAGAAATAAGGTACACATGCAGTAACTGAGAATACACAGATAA